TTATAACGCCCCCACGGCTGAAAGGGCGAGCATGTTTGGTGTGACGGGGATTCGAACCGGCGACCCACAGATTGCGAGACGAGCGCTCTAACCACCTGGCCATGCCGGGCATAGGGAAGGCCTTCCCTATTCAACACCATCTTTTGACCTAATTTCGTCTAACCGAATATTGGGATTCGATTATAACACTTACAACACACCCAACGTAACAGAATGCTAACCACGAGTCCACGTATTCACAGCTCAGGCACACTAACCGATAGGTTTCTCATATTCAAATGTAGTTATTTAAACTTGTGAAAAAATACACAGTAATTCTGATTCAGCTAATAATATTCGGTTAATATCACGCAGCAAGTTTTTAATGCTACACGTGCAGCATATAAAGCAAAGGAATTTTTTACGTTATTTTTATCTATATTAATGAGTTTCTTGTTCAAGTTGGGTGTGGCCGAACGATTAGCGTGTTGAGCTGCATGTCGAAGAGCCTAAGGCTCAAGACACGATGCTTGCTGATTGAATTCACTCTGGTCAATAACTTAAAGTTATCTGAACCTGGTCATTTAGTTAAACTTTCCATAAAATGATTTGTAGGTTGAAAAATTCCTCATCAGGAACTTTAGAAATGTTTTTTTTTTTCTATTAAAAAAAAGCGATAACGACAAGTAAAGAGCAATCAGTTTGATAAACACGCGTCCATGTTTGTTTCAGAAACGTCAACATACTTTCTAAATGTTTATATTTCTATAGATCCCATATTTCAGAGGATATTTCCAATCCGACAATCCAGTTGCAACACCAGTATGGCCTATTCCTTCCCTCTCAGAAACACGCCTAGTCAAGCACGACATATCAGGGTTGTAGCGGAGGAGGTGGGTGTAAATAGAAATAATTATTTGCGTCTACTATATACTAAAACAGTCAGATAAAGTGCCAGTCTTTAACGATGTGAAAATGATGTAAAATATTTTATTTAATATTGTTTAATGAATATATATTGTTTAAGAAATTAAACAAACAGGTTTAACACAACCAGAAATATATGTTATTTTCTTACTGCAGATCCGCTTCTCAGACAATATATTTCCTCACATCTTATACCTTCGTTTTCATAGTTATTTTTTTTTACGTTTTATTCATATTTTTACAACATTGTTTAACAGCTTATCTCCTTATGTTTTACTTGTATTTTATAGTGGTTTTTAGGGTTTTCTTACGTTTTACTCACATTTTTACAACAGTGTTTAACAGCTTATCTCCTTATGTTTTACTTGTATTTTTATAGTGGTTTTTAGGGTTTTCTTACGTTTTACTCACATTTTTACAACAGTGTTTAACAGCTTATCTCCTTATGTTTTACATTACAGTAGTTTTATGCAGTTTTTCTCGACTTAGTTACGTTGTCACAACAACGTTTTAGTGGTTTTCATTACGTATTAATTTTATATCAAAGGTTTAATCTTAGTATCCACGATGAGTTTAATAGAAACAGATGAAAAAATTTAGAAAAATCCTTTAAAATAATGGAACTCTAATATGGCTGGATGTATTTTAATTGGATTATTCCACAACTCAGTAATGTGAACCGTTATATATGAATGTTAACGAGGGTTAAAGTGGAGTTTAAACATGAGGCTGTCTATCTGTTTATTGTTTTTAAACAGATACAATGCATGCTACGCGGGCAAATGTTAAAATAATGATTTTCTCGAGTATTTATGTATTTTTTTCTGATAATTCCAGTTCACCTTGTAATTTCCACCGAAACTGTATTAATATATATTTTTTCTCCGAATGGTGCTGGATATGATACTTTTACAGATTAAAATAATCGGTCAGAACGTTCATTCACTCCATTTAGTTTAATTTTTACTCCTTAGATCAGTTGATACTTTAACAGTTTAAAATAATCGGTCAGAACGTTCATTCACTCCATTTAATTTAATTTTTACTCCTTAGATCAGTCGATAATTTAACAGATTAAAATAGATCAGTTTCATACTTAAAACACCAATGTTTGTTTCACTACAGTGGCTACCTTTTGTGAAGGTGGATAAGATTGGGGCGTGTCTGGCGGTCAGAGGTCCAATGGCGGAAATCCTTCATTTTATAGCCACAAACTTGAATTTTAGGTAGGTTTTGGTTTTGTTAGAGAGAAAAAAATAAATAAACAAAACGCACCAAATAGATGAACAAATTAATACATTTCAATTCTTTTAACATTCTTTGTGGATCTTATTCATATTTATGATTTATAGAAATTAATATTATTTAATTTAATGTTGAATTTAATAGATTTTTTACACCGGAATAGGTAGAAGTATAATAGTTCTTCTTATTTCGGTTGAGTTTTCAAAGGAGAGAAAAATCTAAAGATGTCCACAGAGCTCAGATGTCCCTCGATGCACATAGGCAAACTTGAAGGCTTATAACGCTAAAATTCAGGGCTCAATCTCTGCCGTGGGCATAACATGAATAACCTATCGTGCAGCTTTGTACTTAACAAACTGATAAACAAGCATTTCCAGTTTTAGCTTGTTAAAATATCTTTATGGATGTAATTAATATGTTGTTGTCTTAGTACAAAGCTACACAATGGGCTATCTGGGAAAATCGAACCTCAGAATTTAGCGTTATAAGTTCGTGAACTTATCGCTTACCCACAGCGGAGACTAAGTGATATGTAGGTTATTGTAAATGAAGAAAAATATTGGTTATTTAACCCGTAATTATTAAAATTCAAAATTGCTGATTGCAAAAAAAAAAAAAAAAAAGTGTCCACTTTTGTTTTTTAACAGGTGCTCTTCTTGATAAGGTACATCAGGAGTATACATCTGCCATTACAAAATAGGTCTTCCCAGATTAATTTTGTTTTAAAAATTGCACGCACAACGTCTTTGAGAGAATCTATATTAGCTCAGTCTGGACTCCAGAACCCAATTAATGACGACCTGATTCGCTGTTTGTGGACCAATAAAAGTGTTCATTGATTCCAGGATCAAACTTTGTAATCAGTTCCACTTTAGCTAAAAGTTTCCGTTTCTGGAATGATACAAATTATCAACAGTTCCGTGAAAAGCTTCATTTCTCTCTGTTTAATGCATAATCATTGTAATTATCTTACGAAACACGCCTGCTAAACGATGCCGTTCAATTGTGATAAAAGTTTGAGAGATACTATCCATTGTAATATTCGTTTTCAACCAGTGTTCTTTTTGGTTGTAGTTAAGCACAATGGGCTATCTGTGCTCTGCCCACCACGGATATAAAAACTCGGTTTCTAGCGTTTTAAGTCCACAGACATACTGCTATGCCACTGTGAGGCACCAATATTTTAATCTCTTCCATTTAATAAAGGTATTGCGTTTGTTAACTGCTTTTATCATAAACATTTGAGCTCTCTTCCTTTTATTTTCGCCGAACCACATTTGTGTCTTTTTATTCTTCAACTAATTTTGTAAATAAATATCAATTTAAATAATTTTAATTAATTTGATATTTGTTTTATTTCTCTTTGCTAATATATATCTTGGTTTGAGCTATTTGCATGGCTATTTTTTAAAAAAAATTTTACTTGCCTTTATCATTATCTGAATCTTTTGCCAGCTGTTACGCGCACGCTTTATTTATTACAGTTCCCCCAACAAGGAACGCTTGGCTTGTACATATTCTTTTGAGATGGTTCTCAATAATACTTTCTGATGTATTATACTCAGGTACTTATACAAAAGACCATCATATAAACAAAACAATTATTGCATATTCTATTGGAGGTCCATTCAAATTTTAAAGTTAATAATTTGTTACCAAAATATTTTTGGAAACTTAATATATTAAGTTCGTGATTATTTTTCGTTATACTGAATTAATACAATAAACTGAACATAATTTTGATATAAATATTCTATATTGAATATACCACACAATTTAACTGAAACACTCGAGAAATTTGACATGTTTGAAGTGCCCATTAGTACTCGACGGCTTGGGATCACTGAATAAGAATTTCACAAGAATTTGATCTTTAGATTATCATACAGATATTTATAACTAGTTCTCTGTATTCTTGTGTAGTAGACTTTGAAAGCAGCACCAAAAGAGATAATGTAAAATGTCACAAATTTCGATAAGTTTTCAAACAGAAGCTCTGAATGAAAATTTCCGTTTCTGATTATATATATGATGAATTTGAATTCAATTTTGGTTTCAGTTTTTGAATCGCCAGAGCTTCTTTTATTCTGATCCAAGTATCTCTAGTTGTTTCAATAATTACCAGAACTAGGCTTCAGATGCTCTTGTATACATTGTTCTGAACAACACATGGTCGATCCCGCATAATCTCGTCCACATCGAGAACAAACATATCGATAAACAACGTAACTGTGTATAAATTTATTATATCGCTGATTGCTATATAAAATTAGACTAGGCTTTATCCGAAACTAGTCGAACCTCGTGAGGTATTACTGGGATTATGTCCGATAATATCGTTAACAATGACGGTATTCAATCGTCATAGATCTTAAGTTTCTTGTGTTTTGATTTATGACATTATTTATTTGCAATAGTTTATTAAGTAGAAATGATTTCATTAACTTACAAAGCGGGTTTTAGTTCCGGATCGCAAGAGTTAGTCTATTTTTGATCAAAGTTCTTATTAATTTTTACTTCTAGAAGACAAAACTAAAACAAAATTGTGACAGTATCGAATCACTGAATTTTATTTCGTCTCTTAGCTACACCGTTATTCAGCCTGAAGACCACCAGTGGGGGTCCAAGAAATCTGACGGTACTTGGAGTGGAATGATTGGTTTGCTGCACCGGAAGGTAAGTTTTATTTCGTCACGTGTCTCTTAGCTACACCGTTATTCAGCCTGAAGACCACCAGTGGGGGTCCAAGAAATCTAACGGTACTTGGAGTGGAATGATTGGTTTGCTGCACCGGAAGGTAAGTCTTTGTTCCTCTGTTTGCAATTAAGCACAAAACTACACAATGGGCTATCTGTGCTCTGCCCACCACGGGTATCGAAACCCTGATTCTAGCGTTGTAAGTCCGCAGACATACCGCTGTGCCACTGGGGAGGGGGCTAGATTTTGTGAACTGTTTTAAACGTCACGCTATATTGCCAGGCATAAAAAAATGTTTGCCCAAATTATTGTTTAACCATATTGCTGGTGAAATAGCAGTGAGTTTAAGGACTCATATCGTTCAAGTCCGAGGTTGGATTCCAATGTGTAGCTTTTCGCTAAAAACAACAACACTATAGTTTGAGTTAGAATACATTTTCACGATACATTGGAAGACTTACCACCAAAGTTAATATCATTAATAATAACAAATACACAATAAACAAAATTTTTAACATGGAATAAAGCTATATATTTGAAGCGTGCGTGGCCTAATAGGTTAGCGTGCTCGGACTGTGAATACGAGGTTTCATGGTTTGAATCTCGTTTCCTCCAGCAGGGCATTCTTCTAAGTAACAAACTGGGCATCTATGCTCAGGACCACCTGGATGGGTGCCCAGGTCAGCCACTGAGCACCTCACGGCAAGTTTGGACCCCTAACAATTACCATCACAATCACAACATTTAGTATATTTTGGGTTAGCTTTCACGTTCATTTATTTTTCCATGATCATCCACGGTGTTCCTATTCTCAATTGCACACACATTTGTAATCATAATATTTCCTTTTACTATTTGTATTCTAAAATGTGCAACTTCATAAATATATTGTGTGCCACAGAACGTTAATTTTTTTTTTTTTTACCAAACGAACTTCCGGTAGAGATACATCAATAATGTATTGTTTGTTTGTTTGTAATTAAGCACAAAGCTACACAATAGGCTATCTGTGTTCTGCCCACCACGGGTATCGAAATTCGTATTCTAGCGTTGTAAGTTCGCAGAAATACCGCTGTGCCACTGGGGGGCTCAGTAATGTAGAACTTGTAATTCGATAAAGGTTTATTTGCATTTCTTTTAACTCGGTGTATTTCTATCGTTCTCGTCTTTGGTCTTTGTGCAGGGTTTCGTCATTATTAGGTATTCAGGGTTATTAGGTATTCTTCTATTAGGTATTAAGAATACCTAATAACCCTGAATACCTAATAACCCTGAATACCTAATGGTGGAATACCTAATAACCATGAATACCTAATGGTGGAATACCTAATAACCCTGAATACCTAATAGTGGAATACCTAATAACCCTGAATACCTAATAACCCTGAATACCTAATAGTGGAATACCTAATAACCCTGAATACCTAATAGTGGAATACCTAATAGTGGAATACCTAATAACTCTGAATACCTAATAGTGGAATATCTAATACCCCTCCTATTAGGTATTCAGGGTTATTAGGTATTCTACTATTGGTATTCAGGGTTATTAGGTATTCCACTATTATGTATTCAGGGTTATTAGGTATTCCACTATTAGGTATTCAGGGTTATTAGGTATTCCATTATTAGGTATTCAGGGTTATTAGGTATTCCACTATTAGGTATTCAGGGGTAATATCAGCAAATTGATCCACATTCATTATTTATTATATGTGGAGTGACAATTTTGAACCTCTTCAGCAAAATTGGTGTCCAATATAATTTCCTAAAAAAATATCTTAGCGTTACCACAAAAACGAACTCCGCACTATAAGAATGACCGTCAAAATCCACTATTCGGCCAAACTAGTGTTTCCCAAAACTTGCTGGTGGGTGCTGTTGACTAGCTTGACCTCTCTCAAGTCTATCAGTTCAGAATTTGGGATGATTATGTGTAGGAATCCCTTGAGTAGCTTTGCGCAAAAAAGAGAAAGAAACAAAAAATTCTAGTTATTAATAAGCTTTCAAGTGTTCATTACTAGATAAACGTTGTTGAAATAGACTGATATATATTGCAGTTGAATAAATCCTTATTACGTTGTAAAAAGCCTGTTTCGTGTTTGATATATTGTGGTTAGATAAAACCTTATGACGTTGTAAATAGCCTGTTTCGTGTTTGATATATTGTGGTTAAATAAAACCTTCATTACGTTGTAAATAGCCTGTTTCGTGTTTGATATATTGTGGTTAAATAAAACCTTATTACGTTGTAAAAAGCCTGTTTCGTGTTTGATATGCTGTTGTTGGATAAATTCTTATTACGTTATGAACAGCCTATTTGGACTTTTAGATACTGCGATTGATGAGTCTATATTACGTTGTGAAATACCTGTTTCGTATTTGATATATTGTGGTTGGATAAAGCCTTATTACTTTGCGAAAAAGCATGTTTCGTGTAATTTTGTGCTAGACAACCATTTGCATACAATAAGGACCTTGACTCAATAACATCATAACTATAACTTTTTTTTAATTTTCTGTTCAGGAGGCAGAGTTCCTTGTGACCCCTGCCTCAGCCAACCTTCACAGACTTGAGGTAGCGGACTTTACAGTACCTTTAACGATTGACTCGCAAGGCTTGTTGGTAGCTAGTCCAGCTGAGGAGAACAATGCTTTTGGGTTCTTCTTCTCCTTGAACTGGGAGGTAAGTATAAGCCTCCTCTATGTGAATCAAACTAACAAATATGTATCATTTCTTCAAGTAAATTATGACGTAATTAATGCATGGTTTTTAGCAAATTTAATAAATCAGCGTTTACACGACTCTGTGCAGTATCCCATTATTTTAATGAAAATATAGAACGAGATGTTTATAAGAAATTATAAGATAAACTTGCAAACTTTATATAATTTAAACCTTACGAAACCTTAGACACTTACGGCGAACACCTAAGTAAGATAATATCAGATCATATGAATGTAAGAAATACCTAAGTAAAAGGATATCAGATCAAATGAGTGTAAGGAACACTTAAGTAAGATGTGTTCCAAACATACAGGAGAAGGGAACATTTAAGTATGATGTGACCTAAACATACATGAATAGGAAACACCTAAACGTAAAGTGACTTAAACATACGGGAGTGGGAAACATTTAGGTATGATGTGACCTAAAATACGGAAGTAGAAAACACATAAGTATGATGTAACCTATACATATGGGAGTAGAAAAAATCTAAGTATGATGTAACCTATACATATGGGAGTGGGAAACATTTAGGTATGATGTGACCTAAAAATACGGAAGTAGAAAACACATAAGTATGATGTAACCTATACATATGGGAGTAGAAAAAATCTAAGTATGATGTAACCTAAATATACGGGAGTAGAAAACACATAAGTATGATGTAACCTATACATATTTCAAACCAGCATGACCTATCTAGAAATAAACAAACAACAAATTAATTAACTTGTTTATCGCTAATTCGTTAGCTTCTATTAACTCTAGGTCTGGCTCACACTACTGGTCAGCATGAGTTGTCTGTCGGCTGTCAGCTGGATTTTTGAACTTGTTAAAGAGACACAACTCCCTGAAGAGGAGACAACTGGAGTCTTAGAACAATGGTGGAACTTCTGTATTTGTATTTTACTACAAGGTGAGGGTAATGTAGTTTAAAATTAGATACAAGACCAAGGTGAGGATGATTGTTTAGTATTAGATACAAGATAGATGATAGTTTATTATTAGATACAAGACCAAGGCGAGGATGATGTAATTTAGTATTAGATACAAGACCAAGGTGAAGATGATAGTTTATTATTAGATACAAGACCAAGGTG